CAAACGCCTCATCAGAATACCACCACAGTGGTCGCCAAATGGAATCCGCAATCTCGTGCTCGTTCACACAAAGCAAAATAAGTTGGGCTGAATAGGATGGTAGCCATACTTTTTAGTGATCCATTTCACTTTTCATTTTCCTTGCCGTTGTCATTAGATTGGTCACTTAGTGTCAAGTATAAGAATATTAAACCGGAAAATTAAAGGCCCATTGCAAAACTGCGGTCGTTTAGAGCAAAATTGTCGAGGAAGCTAGGGTGCAAGATGTGCTGCACTCCTTCACTTGGCTTTGCGAGTGTCCTCAAATCGGTTGTTAATGCTGTATCGTATTTGAGTGCATCAAGTGCTGCGCCGACACTTCAGTTTTGAAGTTGCGAACATAATTAATCTAGACATCACTAACCAGATTATGTCGTCAACATACAGTTCCATTTCTTTCCGGTTGTATATATGTGTACACTACCGTTCATTGTTCAGCGGCCGAAAAGCCTAAAGACATGATAAAAAAGTTCCGAACAAAGAAGGACACAACGAAATGAATCGGTGGATGGGAATTTAGATTCCCTACTGCAGTAGCTCGAGTTTTTCAGTTTTATGGTATCTGCGCCGAAAGATTGAAGTTTAAGAGTTGCGACAGCAATTAGTGACTCTGCTTCAATTCTTATAGTTCTTTTATTAAACAGAAAATCATTCGGCGTATGGCTTGCTCTGCAGTAAACGTCGTTTGTTCTAAAATAAACCAATTGTTTATTATATTGTGCTAAAGTTCAGTTGTTCAATTAGTAATAATATAATAATAATATCTGGAATTTTACGTCCCAAAAAGCACGATATAATTACGCAAGACACAGTCGAGGACTCTGGAAATTCCGACCATCTGGTGTTTTTAACGTGCATTGACATGGCACACTATTCTGGCACCTAACATTTCACCTCCATCGATTCAATGATGACCTACCAGTGTTCTTCGGTAGCCCAGTACAGCTTTTATTTTCTCCATGTAGCTGCTGGACACAGTGAAATTCATGCGTTTGTGCATTATGCGTCACCCTAATGGAACGAGGCTGAACATTATATGCAATTTGTTTTAAAACGAACAGGAAGTGTGGAAGATTGCGCGGTTCATAACATTTCTGCACCAAACTTGCAGTGTCGTATATAGTGGTGCGAAGTTGGCGCATTCATCAAGTAGTTACATGCTTGTAGGCATTTCTACACGTATATATGTACGTGGAGGAATGCCCAGAACAACGTCGCCCATGTACTTTCAACAAAAAAAGAAGTATATGTACATTTTTTTTTGTTTCTGATTTAATAGCGACGTCGTAGCTGTTTTATTGCAGCTCTTAAGACCAAACGTCTCGACCACTCCTATCTTATAAGTACAGCTCAGGATCTCCGACTGTCTGCTGTGCGTCACATCGCGACTCCGAATCTTGTACGGGGGCAGCACTCATTCGGTGAATAAATGTGAGGTCTGGGCCGTATGTGGACGCCGAATTCGTAGAGGCCAGATTTCTAAGCATCAATAAAGCTCGTTTTTGATGACAAAAATAGGCCGGCAAAACAGCGTTTTAGGCTTCCAAAATTTTGAATATCAACGCAACAATTCATCACATAGATGCGAATAATTTCAAACGAGACGTGCGCGACGTCTGCCTATGACAAGAAAACAAAAATGTTCTTGCTTGTGGCACAACGGCGCCAACAGTTGAACGCAGCCAGGTAACTGTGCTTTGTCCGGCACGGTTCGCAGGACACGATCTCTCGCGTGTATTTCACGGTGAGTCCCATTGCCGAAACAACAAACTCCCGGGTGAGAAGGGCAGAGTAGGAGCAGATAGCTGAATCACTAAAACAACAGATGGGATGGGCCGTGTCGAATCGCATATAGCCGATTTCTCCCCTCAGTGACCCAGTGGTGAAGCCAGAAAGAGGGGGGGGGGGGGCTGAAGTCGGGGGTTTAACCACTCTTATCCTTCAGTTCATCATGCATGTAATATACACGCCCACATTGAAGCTCACGCACTTACAATATTCAGAGCTCACCTCTCCCCCCTGCCCCTCCGAAAAACATTTCTGGATACACTACTGCAGCGAACACCGTACAAAGTAAATCACAGAAAAAAACAATGGTCTGTGCGCATCGCTACTTTGTCTGTCTTTTTTATTTTTGCCTTTTTTTTTGCTCTTCGCTCTCCTATCCACTGGCGGCTTTTTGCCGTCTCGCAGCCGCTGTAGAGCTCGTACTGCGTCAATGCACTGCTCTTCACAGTTGCTAGCAGTTGTTTCCGAAAGTTGATTGAACTGGAGGATTATACGTTGAACCCCATAGTTCCGAACAGTCAGTGTTGCGCGGTAACATGAATAACGTTCTCAAACTGTACCCAGGAGCGAAAATTGAGGCTAATTAAGTTAGACGACGCATACCACCGGGGAAGAATACGCGAAAGGAATAACCGGTGGTTTGCGTGCTCTAGTTTTCTTGTAACATGCACCAGCTAGCCCAAAAAACAAGTTTTACTAAGTAGTGTTAATTTAAGTATCAATTTGGAAAAGAGGCGTTTGTATATATTCACAATTATTTAGGCACAGACGCCTCAAGTAGGCCTTTATAGAAACTATAAAAACACTCTAAAAGCCCTTCTTAACCTCCGATCCATCAAAGTGGCGTGATATATATGAGCGCCTAAAATCCCGCCTCTGGTCATTAAATTAAATATCTATTGCATACAACAGTACTGTGCCACTGACATTGAGTTGCCTAGTTTCCCAACTGTTCATTTATCGCTGTAATCTGGTTCGCAGGAAAGCAGGCGATATGACACTTTGACCGCCCTTCCACCTCCCTACAAAAAAAAAGTTTCATAGAGCAGTGCAGATATTTTTGTCGGCATGGGTGTTGCGAGAACGAATCAAGATCATAATTTTTTTTCTTCAGGATATCCCCAGAACTGAAAGAAAACGATCAGATAGCGCTAATGATGAGAACCATCATATGCCCCGGTTGTAATAATATCTGCCTGATTGCAGTATCAGTGTCATGCTTTGGTGCACAAAGCGCAGACTGTGAAACAGCCAGAGAAGCTAAAAGACGGTGTGCACACATTTAAGAAGTGGCATGGGACTTGCTGGTGAGATTACCTAATTTTCAAAACCTTGCAATATTCATGCACCTCAGACCTTCGAAGAATTTGGTACCACAAATTTCAACACCGAAAAAAGGAACTGTTCATTGCCTTTTCTGATTTTGAAATCTTTTGTAAGCGCGCCTACACATCGTTGCGTATTTTCGCTGCAGATATTTATTGCAGTATTTGGGCGTAGACCTATTGAGGTGTATGGGCCAATTTTATCGCATGCATTAGGTCACAGTCGGCCTAATTAACGCGATGAACACTCACGAATCAGTTAGGCGGGAGTGTTCTGTTTTTAATCGTCAAGTTCAGTAGGGCGTGTTCAGTATTCAGGGCAGATCATTTCTTTTTTTTCTTTGCGGCGACATCCATTGCAAGTAAAATAACTTGCCTTTCAGTTGTGGTGCTATAAAAAGAATTATTATGTAATATTAACGCGATAGCGTTAAAGAGCTTATTTCGCAGAAATTCCGGCGTCGCTGTCGTTGGTTGTGAGCGAAAAATCATCATATTACACGTGACCGAAAAATTGAGAATGGTGCAAATAAAATATTTAATAAAAAATCCCGGAGCCGAGTGAGAACCGAACCAGCGTTGTTACGGTCTTTGTGAGAATCGAACTCGGGTTGTTTGCGTAGCAAGCGGATGTTCTACCATACGGCAACGCCTCTGCTTGTTGAGATAGTGAAAATAACTTTCTCTGCTTGAAAATGCTGTAAATGTAGCTTTCGTGCTTCACAAGCTCACGCGTCCTGTATACATGCTTCACAATAACAACATGAAATATTGCAGTAACAATGCGTGGTACTAGCGTCCATTTCCAAAGGGTGAAAGAATATGTGATTATCATAATGGCTCCGTGGCATAAAGCCGGAACCCCACAACAAAAAGCACACACGCCACTGTGCCTATTCCCTTAAGGCCACGTAGTTGGTTGATATCAAATTCGAAAAAAAGGTTTCATGCACTAAGCGTTTGAAGTACCCACTAGGAACAGGATGCCGCTATTGCGTTCATCTCCTAGAGGCGAAGTTTTAGGGTCCTCTAATTTTTGTCAGTCTTATCAGACGACAGTATTAAAAGTTGTGAGTGTTAGTCTTCGCTTCATTCAAAATCTATCGCAAATAAATAGCGAGGGTTATTCTACTCAAAGTCCTCCCTCTTGAACAATCAATAGAACACGTTTTATGACGTGCATTGAATTCGATCAGACCATTTTGACTCAATAGCGTAGTCATATGCTAACACTCACTGTCAGTGTTGGAATAACAAAACGCATGGTTACTATTATTACTCTGTTTTTAAAAAATTAGGTCTATTCTACAAGGCATCATGATCATATGTGAACGCACAGACGCCACGCTCCAGGTAAATGTCGTTCATTCTCTGTAGTCGTGATAAAAAGCACGACATGCTTGCGCTAATTAAACTATTCTTATGGGAATAATTACTTCGTTTATGAACGCGGGAAGACGTCGTGTAACATTTATAAAGCGTGACAGCAATGATGAGTGATCTTACAAGCAACATAAAACGATAATCTGCGAGCAGAAAAACTCACTCATGAATACCACCCACATCGCACAACAACGTAGTTTTTGTGCTTAAAAATCACTTTTAAGCAATGGCAGCGTTGACCATCAGAACACAGCTTAGTTGTCAGAGCAGCCTAACATATCTTTACCAGCCTACCGATAACTAAGAACTAACCAGTGACGCATATACCGGGATGATAACATGAAGCACTCACGCACAGAAAGACTCCTGAATTAGGTGAATCTGTAAGCGTAGGCTAGGCCAGTCCACTTCTGGCACAGACAATAAGAAAAAAAAAACACTCGAGCAACTCCAATGAACACCAGACAGGCAGGATGAAACACAGAGTGTTTATTCTTCATGAACTGACATCACAATACTGGGACAGAATGAACCATGATCTCTGTACAAAGTTTTTTGCACGCACTGTCTATAATTACACCGGACTAAGGAGCGCATGATCACGTGATAACCGACGTTGTTCTCTTTGACCAGTGCCGGCCTTCGTTCACAATGCACCACACGGCTGCCGAAGGTCGCACCGGTCCATCTCCGGCCATGCCTGGCACTCTCACTGTCGTCAGCGCGTGCCCGGCTGAATTGGCCGAGGTGAGAAAAGTGAACGGTGGCAGCAACGCTCCGGCGACAAATCACGCGAACGCAGCAGCAGGAGGAGGAATTGCGGTCAGGGCAGTCCCAGCCCAGAGGCCACCGACTGTCCGATCTCGGGGAGCGAACGGGGCCGCCCATCGCCATCATCGCTGTTAGACTGGGTGACTGGACTACGCAGCACGCCGGCTCAGCGGATGGGCTCGTTGCGCAGGCGGCACTCGCACTCGGTGTGGTTGTCGAAGACGAGCGTGACGGGCTGGTAGCGCGACGGACCACCGCTGGAATCCAGGTGCACCACCAGGAAGGGCAGCTGCACCGCCTGCATAGTTTTCACCTGGCAATGCTGCTCCTCGGAAGAGCAGCAGCCAGTGTCCGGTCCGCAGCGGTGCAAGATGGTGCAATGGGGCAAGAATTTCTGCGCAGAGTGGAGAACGTGAGGTCTTGAGTCAATGCGGTTTCGCCGCACATATGTTCATAGTACAGAGCACACGGCACAAGGGAAAAAAAAAGAGAGAGAGACTTGGCTAGTGCTAGAGGACCGTCTTTACAGATTTAGCTCTTTGTGTCGTGAGCCCTGTTTTGCACAGCGAACGTGTCACATTGCTAGAATGGATCTGATTCGTGCTGTAAAACATGTGCGCTTTTTTGCGATAGCTGCAGCTATGATTCGCAAACATAACTTGCTTACGCTGTTTAGAGGTGGGACAAATATAAATAAGCACGGTGTTTAGCAGCCTCCTCGCTACATTCAACACAAAGATGACAGCTTAACTGCAAGACATTGGTAACATGAAAACTCGGAAGCGTTCAACGATCGTCAAACAAAAGCTCCTTTTCTGCAGCTTCACACATCTCTTGTTTGATTGCTGTTGATAAGCATAAAAGATACCACGGTAAAACCATTGCGAACGATTTAGGCGCAGAGGGCAGCATGACAGCCGTGATGCACAGGCAGCGTCAAACCTTTAGAGACGACGATGCAGAATAAAAAGCTTAATATCTCCGCTGCTACGGTAAGCAGACTTGAAAACATATTTCCAGCAAATTGTGAAACGAGTTAAAAATAAAGTTCAGTAGGGTTGAGAGCTGGGCTAGTTGGTGAGACATCATTTAACCATATGGTGTAGTAGCGCAATTTCAAGATAAGGCGTTGGCAGCCGTAGAAAAAAATTTTGTCCGTGTAGATGTAAAGGCAAACAAGGTTAAGCAAATGACTCTCACTTTACTAGAGAACAGTAAATTGGAACGGCTTGCATCAGCAGTACAAAGCGCAGGTAGCTTACATCTTGAGTTGTTTTTTGCGGCAAAGACTCATAAAATTGATATTCCTTTCAGAGCCATTGTATCCGAAAGGGACTCGTGGCAACTATGCTTGTCTTCGTATCTTCAGTGTCACCTTAAGACATTGAAGGTATCGGATCCTTTCAGTCTGCCAAACTCTCAGGCATTAGTTTCGTATTTAAGCACACATAACCCAGGAAAATGCTATTTCTTCAGCGTTGACATACAAGATATGTATTACAACATCCCGCATGGTCCGCTATTGTCAAGTGTAAAGCAATGTATAACAAAAGAAAACGATGAGTTAGAGTTTCTGAATAAGTGTGGTGTATCGGTGGATGCCTTTCTTGAATTGTTAACCTTTTACCTTAGGTCGACATTTGTTATGTGGAACAAGGCTATGTACCGACGAAAATCCGGTATCACAATAGGCTCGAAAGTAGCCCCGGTTTTAAGCACAATTTATTTAGCAAAAATGGACAAGGCAATAGATTTAAACCTTAAGGGGCTTGCACTCAAAGTGTTTCGGTTTGTAGATGACTTTTTGGTTTTTATTGAATCGGATGGTCGGGATAAAATGGTCGCAGAAGTTTTAAAAGTCTTCAAGAAAACTAGTAGAGGGCTTGAATTTACTCATGAATTACCAGTCAATCACAAACTGCAGTTTTTGCATATTGAGTTAGATGCCACAGCAGAACATGTATGCTGGTCATACAATCCGCGAACGGAAAAACCCTTACTTAGCTACCGATCGGCACATTCTAAAGTTGTAAAGAGTGGCATAGCCTTTTCATGTTTGAGAGCAGCCTTAACAAAGTCATGTCCAGAAAAGATTAGCGAAAGCTTCAACCAACAAATTATCAGGCTAAAAAATGCTGGGTACGAAAAACACGTGTTGTGTAGATCGGCTAACAAGCTGATTAGTCACGTACGCAACAACTTTCATAAAAAAATGACAAGTAATGAAAACAGGAAGAAGATAGTGTCAGTTCCATATGCGCACAAGATTGCCCATAACTTAAAAAACGTAGGTAATCGCTATGGCCTAGAATTAGTTTTTTCGGCACCCAACAAGCTTAGTAAAATATGTTCCAAACTAGACCGTAAAGTTTCCATAGCAGAAAACACTAATGCTGGTAGTTGTACGGTAAATCACACAACAAAGTTTGTTAAGTGTAGCCTATCAGTCGTGTATTGCTTGCCGCTAACGTGTGGAAAGGTATACATCGGCCAGACGGGTCGTTGTTTGAACACCCGACTTTTAGAACACAAGCGATCATTAGGAACTGGCATTCATTCTCACATAAAGAGACACTGTTCCCAGTGTGGCTGCTCACCACTGTACAGTGACACAACCGTAGTCTTCCGTCATGGAAACCAACTAACCAGAGAAATAGTCTAAGCCTTTCACATTAAAAAAAGAAATGAAGGATGCATTAGTCAGTCATCAGTTTCGTTAAGTAACCGAGAGGCCAGCTACCTCGAAGGACTTAATTGAGATCAGTGTTTGCATGTGTCATACTCTCCTTTTTGTCGTTTCAAAAATTTTTTTTCAAACACGTGTGAATTCCCGCAAAATTTTTTGGTTTTTTTGATTTGATGTTACCCAGGGCTGTTTTAGTTATGTCATCTTAAAGTGTCTAAGCGTAACTGCCGTGTACTATCGCTTGAGTCTGCGCAAAAGCTTCTGTTGGCGATGATTCAGTGTTCGTAGTTCTTTTCTGTGTCGCTAGGGTTTTGGGTTATATATGAAGTGCTGCTTCTGAAATAAAAATTAGTTGCGAGTGTAGCGAGTGTTGTGTTTTCTTGTCCTTTTTGTCCCCGTGAATTTGCGCTACTACACCATATGGTTAAATGAGTTAAAAATAAGTATTGTGCATTTCCACGGAATACAATACAATCACACATTGCTGAAAAATGGTTTTCTCAGACCAAGCATTGCCTAAATTTTTGACGTCGACTGTACATACACTATAATGTATCAAGATTCCACAGAGAACCAGTCATGATTTTACAATATTTCAATCGATCAACCATATTCACTCACTTAATTACCACTGCAGTATATTGAAATTTACGTGCTTACGCCTTTGCAATGTAGTCACAAAACAAAGTAAGTCGATTGTTTGTTTGTGAGGTTCAATTTGTTTGTTTGTGAGGTTCGATTGTTTGTTTGTGAGCTTGTTTGTGAGGTTCAAACCAACCAACCAGCCGACCGAGCGACCGACCGACCCCCCACCCCCCCCTGAAAATTTTACATTTTTATGTCGATATATACGTGCGCACATACGAACACGCGCACGAACGTACTTGAAGGGTGGAATCCACACCTCCCCGGCGCAAAAGTTTCCGGCAGTGCCCTTGAAGCGATTTCTTACGACTACCCACTGAGCAAGTTTCTTGCTCTTGCAGGCAAGAAAACTGTGGTGACACTTTCAGTGGAGCTTGCGAAATAACTGAATACGACAAATCACAACATGTAATTTCTACATCCCGTATATTTCTATGTGGGACAACGGACCAGTCAACAAGTAAATAATAGGTTTGAGTGAAATATTTCACAAAGATACACGTATTCGTCAAAATCCAAAAAAAGCAGACAAATATCCAATGGTTGTTTCTGTGTTAAAACATCTTGTATTTCGTTCCCTTTAAGCCCTGTTTGAAATTATTGGTGAGTGACTGAGTTAGTGAGTGAGTGTGCGTGTGTTTGTGTGTGTTGCGACTCCACCCCTATGTTTTACTTAACCTGTCGATTAAAACTATGTAGTCCGGGAGCATTTTTGACACTGCCATTCACCATGAACAGTAGCTCTCTCGGAATGCCACCTAGTAGAATAGTTGCTATTTTCGCAGATGTGAAACACAGAAACGAGAATGACACTCGTTGAAGTGGTTGGCGAAATTTTATCATGATCATTATTACCTGTCATTCAGACACACCAAAAAAGAAAACAAACATTCAGCGATATAACTTAGCCAAATACTTTTCCTGTGGTCAAAACGCAGATTGACATGTTTATGCAATCATGTCGCTATCGCAATAAATTCCCAGTTTGGCAGTTGGCTTTCTTTTTTGTCTGTTGATTAAACAGTATGCAGTTAACAGGTAAATGCACTCTGCGTAAATGTTGCTTTCTCTACACCAACAGCGTCTCGGATAAGAGGGCTATCAGCACATAGACTTCTCGAGTATATCTCACGGTAAGAATAAGAGCAATGCTGTTGAGCTGCTGTTGTTACATGCTTATCGTGCTTTTGAGCTATGACAGCCTGCGCCTCTTCATCAAGCCAAACACAATCGTGTTTGTCTTCTTGAAAAGGCATCTAAAAAAAAGAAATAGTTCTTTATCACCTCGCTCAACGTATTGGCGGCTGTTAAAACACCGTCGTTCCATTGCTTAGGCTGCAAGGAGCCGGTCAAGGCGCCTGTAGGTGTGAAGAGAAAATGCATAAACAAAGGCAGATACTAGCGCGATCAGTGGCAGCCATTCGCGCAGACCTCACTACACCTGGTAACGGCTAGGCGTTATCGGCGGCACCGTTATCTCCAGCGGCGGCACACACTGATTGGGGATGCTTGCATGCACGTGTGACAACCATGTGAAGCTCACCCTGGTGTCATTGGGCTGCAGCTCCTTGAGGCACTGGACGCGAGGTTGTGGAAAGCGGCAGGCAGCCTCCCTCCACACGAACTCCTGGTGGCGCGCGGCCCTAGCCGATGCCGGGTCGGCCGGCCGGCGAGGCGCCGACACGACACAACACAGGGCAGCGCTCAGGACCACCACCGGCAGCGCGAGATGGCGCATCGCTTGGCTGCGCTTTTTAAGCCGCCACACGATGGGCCCGCTATCACGCACATGGAGAACGCCACGCGCGACGCGCCCGGCTCTCCCAAGCCGGCAAAAAACAAGCAACACCAATCGTGAACTGTCACACGAGCCGCTTTCCTTCTAGACCGCGTAATCTGGTCCCGCCGTTTGACGCTCCCCACCCTCCGCGCCTCCGTGGAGGTCGCGCGCTCACTGTCGCTGCGTTGCAGACCGGCAGAGTTGGTCAAACCACCACCGCGTCTCTTTCACCGAGTCTTTTGGCGCACCTTCAGCGAGTGAAGGTAATTCCCTGCCGAGAAGCCACTGGCGCCGACCCGGTAAAACACGAATCGTGCCCTTTCCGCTTCGACCTTCTTGGATGATGCTGGTGTCGGTGATTTAATTGGCCACTTCGCTGTCAGGGGGCGCGATCACACCGTCTTCTTACGTCGCTCCAACGCACGTCCCAGCGAGTCCTGTTAACTCGAACAAACTCCTGCTACCTGTATGCGTACGATTAAGCAACCACAGGTGCCGCTCAGTCTCGTGCGGCGTGTTTACGCGCTAACCCGGCGGAGTGCGTGAGCAGACTGCTGATGCGCCGCCCGAAGATGCCACCGAGGCGCTGCGATGCCAAGATGTGCCCCCCCCCCCCCCTTACATCTCTGGGAGAGAAACCGCCACGTGCCGTCAGACGTTCACACGATGCAGCTGTGCCAGCGCACAGGACTTAGCGCGCAGTGTGACGTCTTGAACTGCCGCTGCTGTGTGAATAACTTTCGGTTCGTCGGGAACTGCCTTGCTCTCGAGCTCTTCCGAAGACTGCTGCGGTGACGACCCTTCCGAATGCTTATATTTATGAGTCTGATACGTGTACGGTTATCTGCAGCCGTTGCCACGATGCCGCTACCCTGGGTCGCGTCAAAATCCGACCAGTGCGTCAGATATAGTGTGTCAGATATATCTTGCCCCACCGGAAGGGCAGCGTGACGAAGAAACCTTTGGAGTAAGATGATTTGTTTCGAGAAATTAGTGCAAAACACTGCACTGCCTGTCAGTGCCTGACCCATCTAGGAAAAAAAACTGGACGAAACGCTATACGCCGCTTACTATGTAGCCGTAAAGTGAGTAATGCAGAATTCCACATCGCGAATTCGCTAAAACGTTGGCCCGTGCACGAGCTAACCGCGTTTTCTTAAAAAGGCGCCTTTCAGGAAAAAAATTCATTGCTGATAATCCCCGAAGAAAAAAAATAATTAAACTACAGGTGCAGTGTTTCGATGAAGTAATAGGGCACAGCACATGTGTTGGTATTTCTTTTCAGAGCACCGTAGTTTTTTTTTTCCACCCGAGGTAAGCTCACAGAGTGTTCTGTTGATTTTGAACTCAACAGAACACTCTGTGTGTCACGACAAGAACAATCAACGTCACGACCACTTGACAATATGTGGTATCTTTTTAGGGTTGTTGACGTTTTGAGCTTCCAAGCAGAATTATTTAGCTGCTGTCTTTTACAGTGAAAGCATGAGATCACAACTCGGGTCACGCGCAGCTGTCTGCCGCCGCCGCTGCCACCGTCAGTGTACGTAACCACATCGCGCGAAATTAAAAAAAAAAATAGCACTAATGACACAGAGGGGCTCGAGCCCGGGTCTGCTGGGTGCCAGCACAGTATCCTACCGCTGAGTAACCAGTGCTTGTAAATTATTGTCAAACTTGCCTTAGGCGGGCTTCACCTAGCACCAATGACACAGTGGGGCTCGGACCCGAGTCTGTTGGGTGCCAGCCCAGTATTCTACTACTGAGCTACACCGGTGCTTGTGACTTGTCAAATTTGCCTTAGGTAGGCTTGATGTCGGGAAAGCAATCGCGTTAATACGACTTATAAAGCATTTTAGAACAGCGAAAGAACAACCAGTCGTCGCACAATGCGATTAGCGTAATGAGTGGGCCGCCCAAAGCTCCAACCCATCACAAAAGCTTGTTATTGTTCTTCTAATAACTGTGGCGCATACCCACTTCAGCCATAATTCCTCATCGTCGTCAGCCACTGCATGAGCAATTTGCGCAAAATCCCTTGCAAGTGTTAAGCGGATACCACGCTTCTCAGATGAATGATAAAAAATAGCTAAGCGAATGTCGGCCTACTACCCAAATAAATTTAATGATAATGACCTATACTGGGTATCAAGAAAGTGTGTTTGCAGTAGTTACCTAATGATTGTTTCGAAAAGGTTTTGAAAGGCCGCTCGTCTAGCTTTCGCTGTGACTGTGCTACGCCTTCCACACAGGCCTAGCATTTTCTTCCATGCATCAGCTTACAATTCCTTGTGCTGAGAAAAAATGTGCGAACAAAAGGCGAATAAGTGAAACGAATTACTAGCTTAATGTAATTAAGCTACGTAAGCTCATAGCTTTTTTATCATACTCCCATTTCGAGGTTATATTACGAACACTCGGTGCTCTGTAGACACCATTTTAGGTTTGCATTTCGGTTATCAGAGAACGGCTGCAGCAGCCGGCCATCGATGTCGCGGCCTTGTGCCCTTCGCAGCAGGGCGCCGTAATTACTGAGGCACATCTGGCCTGGCGATGCGCACATTTCAGGGGTCGAGCGGAGTGTTTTGCTATGACATAAATATAAGCTATTGCAAGTTTATGTGTGACACCTCATTATTCGTGCTCGAATGGGCACATCAATCATGTCCCCCCGTGTTCTAGGTGATCCTCTTCTGCTGGACTCTGAGGCCAATGTGCTTGTCTCCCTCACCAAATATGGCTACACTGCGGAGGACACGCTCGCTTAAGCACTAATTCGCTTAACAGACTCATTTACTCGCAGAATACTGCAATAGCCCATTGAGCCCATCGTCTCATGTTCACTCGTAATAAACCGCTACGTTCCGAAAACTTTAGCAGACTGACACAGATTTTAAGGTTAACTTGCGTCAGCTGTGAGTGTTTCACGTGTTCTGTGTCGTACGTAACACCTTCGCATGCAAAACTGCCAGAGAATTTTAAGGTTCGAGTGGTTATTCATGAGCGAAAAGAAATAATTCATTTTGAAATGTCTACATCGTGCGGAAGACACTGTTTACGGCTCTGAGAAATCGTGACAGGCTTGCCGAAGTCCAAATTCTCACGTGTTCAAAAGCCTTGAGATGACTTCGCATACAGTCCTCTGTAGAAGACTTCGCTCGGGAAGAAATACTGTTTAAAAATACAAGTGCGTCCAAATAACGGTGCTATGCTACATGCATGATGTAAGTGTGACCACTGTTCTAGGATGCTTCAGTCCGTATCGATGGAACAGAGGTCACACTTACAGTGCTCGACTGCTGTCCCACAGGTCGCAGGTTCGGTTCCTGCCCACGGCAAGTTACCTTTTCACCCACTTTTCTTTCTTGACATCTACATTACGATTCGTTCTAATAACTTCCCCTATACTTTCATTGGCACCATTGTCTGTTAGATCTCATTAATACTGTGTGAAACACGGAAAAACGAGCCCTTAACCCCCAACCGCGGTGGTCTAGTGGATAAGGTACTCGGCTGCTGACCCGCAGGTCGCGGGTTCAAATCCCGGCTGCGGCGGCTGCATTTCCGATGGAAGCGGAAACGTTGTAGGCCCGTGTGCTCAGATTTGGGTGAAAATTAAAGAACCCCAAGTGGTCGAAATTTCCGGAGCCCTCGACTACGGCGTCTCTCTTAATCATATAGTGCTTTTGAAACGTTAAACCCACATATTCATTCAGAGTGATTAACCGATTTGTTGACGAAGGCACTAATGAAATAAATAATACCCTCGGACACGTGTAATAACAAGAATTCTAATAATTATATCCGGTGTTTTGGTTATGAGGGCTGTCGTAGTGGAGGACTCCGGAAACATAGACGATCTCCTTAACTGTAGGCACCGACATTGCACAGTGCACGGGCCTCTATCTATTTCACTCAGCAAGCAGCCGCGCGCCATAACCACTGATCCACCGTGGCCGACTCTGTCGCGGTTAATCTTGCCGGAACGGTCATGGTTTACTTTCTATACCAAGTAATTGAGTTGTCGGCCTTTTTGTTGGTTTACAGGAGAAAACTTTCCCTAGAGCACTGATAGCCCAATGCAGAGAAGATATTGATTTACTGCCGCCCTCTTGTGGTGGTGATTAGCCTGTGAATAAACTAAACTTAATGTGCAAAAAGCTGAATAATGTCTTTTTTTTACTTTTTGTCGTGTTTTACGAATCATGAATCGGGCAGTATTGCTACAAGGTCATTTTATCTTTTCTTATTAGCCGCCTGATGCCGGCTCAAAAAGAATAATATGACTTTTTAAGTAAAACGAGTCACTATGAAACCGTTTTATCATGTTCAAGCACTTTCACATAGCAAACTGAAATAGTGACCGTACCTTGCTGCTAAGATAGATAGATAACTAAGAGATAGATGAATTGGTATTTTATGCCACAGTATAAAGAAAAGGTACCTGTCTGAGCGTGTCAGCTACGCTCTGCTTTGGTGGTCAAGTGGCTAAAGTACTCGGCTGCTGACCAGCCCGTCACGGGATCAAATCCCGGCTGTGGCGACTGCATTTTCAAAGGAGGTGAAAATGCTGTAGGCCCATGTGCTAAGATTTGGGTGCACGTTAAAGAACACCGCGCGGTATAAATTTCCGGACCCTTTCACTACGGCGTCTGTCATACTAATATGGTGGTTTTGGGACGTTAAACCCCACATATCAATCAATCAAAGCCCTGCACTTTCACGTCAGTGATAACAAAAAAACTTTTATATTCTGCTGAAATGAAAATATAACGATTGTTAAATGAAGCAGCAAGAGGTGGGGGAGATGAGGAAAGCGTCCCTACATGCAAGTAGCAGCTCTAACGCTACTTATGTGTGTTCTGACAAGAAAATTAAGTGCGTTTGCGCGAAGGCTAGCAGAGAGAGAGAAATAAATAACGACGTATGTCAGGTTTTGCAGAAGAGTCGAAAGACAATATTTGCGGAAACACCTGACTACCCATCACACGTATTTGATGTGGCGAGAGGAGAACTCCAGTAGTTCTCATTTTCTTCTTTAGTAGTGACAAGAAAACTTGCTCCAAGTGTGCTTTCTTAGTGACAGATGCGAAGCGGGGTGGGTGAAGTTGCCCTCGAATGTCGCATGATGAGCCGAATGTGTGGTCCGAACGCTCTATAGAAGCCTTATTTGTAGTACGTCTGTTCTCGTAGTCATTCCATCAGCACGGCACAGTGGAGTTCAAATCAGAATATCCTTGACATTTGTATAACTAAAGCAAGGGTGGGGAAGGCGAATCCAACTCCCTCATTTTTTAAAATTTTGCATACACGCATACGTGCAAGCCTAAAGCATATACACGGACCTACATAAATAAAAGTTCAACTCCTGCCTCTCCCCACGCCCCCGAGGAAAATTGTTTTCTGTGCCCCTGCTTCAGTATATCAGTGGCAGAGTTCAATTAGCATACATCCTTGACAGAGGTGCTATAGGCCTGTATCATGGACTGTAATTACTACTCGTAACATGTTATATACTGTACCTGTGTTTACCATCACATGCCATCACAAAGTTACACATTCATCGATA